AATCTGCAGAGGAAAAGGGGCCTAAACTCACTACACAAAGCTCTGTGTGTGTGTGTGTGAGGGTGTATGTGTGCGGACGCCGCAGTTCTGTGAAACTCCAAATAAGGTACTGAGCCTCCAAATAAGGTACTCAAGCCTAGCTGGCCCCGAACAGGAAACGTTCAAACAGGAAGTGATGTAAGCACAGTGTAAGCACAGAAACCTTGAGTCATTTTCGGAAAGAGACTCTTGGACTTGCAGGAGTCTACAATAACGGCTGAAAAAAGGTTCTGACTCATTTTACAGTTCAGTATGATTCCATAAGCAGATCCAAACCTCTAAATGCATCCATTGTCCCCAATGACAAGAGAAACCCATCTACTTATACTAGACTGATTTCTATTATCATGAAAATCCATCTATTCCGGAAAAAAAACGGCATGTCAGCCACACAACCTCACCGACACTCTTCTTCTCTTCAGACACCTAATCTGTTCTCTCACCTTAAACGCCCTCTGATATTACATCCAGTTAACATCTACATTCACACGCAACTATTCTTGGTCTGAGCTTCTCTTCATTCAGAACATGAGAGTAAAATAACTACAAGCTACATGTAAGCTATTGTGCAAGGATGTGACTGAGCTATTTTGAGAAAAAAAAACTGAAATGGGAGCTTAACCACAATATCAACACTCAAATGTCTAATACGGCCATTTAACAGGCTAATAACTTACATTACATTAACAAACAGTAACAGTATATAATGTATATATCATGTATACAATATATTTTTAACAGTACTTAATGTATACAATGCTTCACAGAACAAGAGTTTGTCATAAATCTTTAATTCACACATTTTCATGTACATCCTGTTGACAGAGATATAGACAGACAGACAGACAGACAGACAGATAGATAGGCTTTTTAGAGATATCAAATGTTTGATCATAAATACTCCCTCTCCTTGGTCTTTAAATATGACTGATATTGACAGAATGATCCAATTTAGCACTCTTAGGGAAATATGATAATGTTTTGTAATTCGCATTTAAATCTGGCTAATTTTCAAATGGTTTCTCATAAATAAACATCTCAGAAAAATGTTATGGGGTTTCAAATCGGAATATGACTTTGTAACAAAACAAGGCATAATTTTCATACATGTCTTCTGTAGAGAACACCAGGACAAACATCATGCTAATCAGGCATTTTGGGGAAACACAAGAAGTCAATAGGGAAAGAAATTATAGATCAATATTCCTATGAAATATGAGATATTCTTATGAAAATGTTGCAAAGTTATTACTCCCATTATTACACTTCTTTTTTTCATTATGGTTTGCCGCAAGAACACATTAATATGCAAAATAGATGCAACGTATGGATACATTGTATTGAATGGGAATACCAATTTATGGACATTTTACGCACATATTCCATAAAGTGTTGACCCTTAGTGAGTACCTCACTTCTCGCCTGCACACTCCCTCTGACCTGAACCTACAGAGGTCACAAAACTGATGACTGGAGATAAATGCATATGTGTGAGTGCATGTGAGTGAAGGAAGAAAGAGAGAGGAGTGTGTTGATTATAAAGAGGCCATTTTAGTACATTAGCTGTGATACAGCTGCATTCTGGGCAACAGAAATCTGCAGAGGAAAAGGGGCCTAAACTCACTACACAAAGCTCTGTGTGTGTGTGTGTGAGGGTGTATGTGTGCGGACGCCGCAGTTCTGTGAAACTCCAAATAAGGTACTGAGCCTCCAAATAAGGTACTCAAGCCTAGCTGGCCCCGAACAGGAAACGTTCAAACAGGAAGTGATGTAAGCACAGTGTAAGCACAGAAACCTTGAGTCATTTTCGGAAAGAGACTCTTGGACTTGCAGGAGTCTACAATAACGGCTGAAAAAAGGTTCTGACTCATTTTACAGTTCAGTATGATTCCATAAGCAGATCCAAACCTCTAAATGCATCCATTGTCCCCAATGACAAGAGAAACCCATCTACTACTGATTTCCTGATTTCTATTATCATGAAAATCCATCTATTCCGGAAAAAAAACGGCATGTCAGCCACACAACCTCACCTCTTCTCTTCTTCTCTTCAGACACCTAATCTGTTCTCTCACCTTAAACGCCCTCTGATATTACATCCAGTTAACATCTACATTCACACGCAACTATTCTTGGTCTGAGCTTCTCTTCATTCAGAACATGAGAGTAAAATAACTACAAGCTACATGTAAGCTATTGTGCAAGGATGTGACTGAGCTATTTTGAGAAAAAAAAACTGAAATGGGAGCTTAACCACAATATCAACACTCAAATGTCTAATACGGCCATTTAACAGGCTAATAACTTACATTACATTAACAAACAGTAACAGTATATAATGTATATATCATGTATACAATATATTTTTAACAGTACTTAATGTATACAATGCTTCACAGAACAAGAGTTTGTCATAAATCTTTAATTCACACATTTTCATGTACATCCTGTTGACAGAGATATAGACAGACAGACAGACAGACAGACAGATAGATAGGCTTTTTAGAGATATCAAATGTTTGATCATAAATACTCCCTCTCCTTGGTCTTTAAATATGACTGATATTGACAGAATGATCCAATTTAGCACTCTTAGGGAAATATGATAATGTTTTGTAATTCGCATTTAAATCTGGCTAATTTTCAAATGGTTTCTCATAAATAAACATCTCAGAAAAATGTTATGGGGTTTCAAATCGGAATATGACTTTGTAACAAAACAAGGCATAATTTTCATACATGTCTTCTGTAGAGAACACCAGGACAAACATCATGCTAATCAGGCATTTTGGGGAAACACAAGAAGTCAATAGGGAAAGAAATTATAGATCAATATTCCTATGAAATATGAGATATTCTTATGAAAATGTTGCAAAGACATCTCAGAAAAATGTTATGGGGTTTCAAATCGGAATATGACTTTGTAACAAAACAAGGCATAATTTTCATACATGTCTTCTGTAGAGAACACCAGGACAAACATCATGCTAATCAGGCATTTTGGGGAAACACAAGAAGTCAATAGGGAAAGAAATTATAGATCAATATTCCTATGAAATATGAGATATTCTTATGAAAATGTTGCAAAGTTATTACTCCCATTATTACACTTCTTTTTTTCATTATGGTTTGCCGCAAGAACACATTAATATGCAAAATAGATGCAACGTATGGATACATTGTATTGAATGGGAATACCAATTTATGGACATTTTACGCACATATTCCATAAAGTATAGTAGTATATAAAAATCATTCTGTTATATCTTTCATAACATAGTTGAGAGTCATCTGTACAAAGTTTGGCTAAAAATAGCCTGAAACCTAAAAACTGATTGAGGAATGAAAAGATAAAACATTGTTTTTGCCAACACATGCCTCTATATATCTTTATTTTTTTATTTTTTTTTTAATAACTTAGTCCTGGCATCCTCTACGAAAGGACATAGAATAAAATGTTTCCTTTCTATTTGTTTCTTATGCTCCATCCAATGGTAACGACATACAAAAACAACAAAATTCACAAAACTTTTTTTTCTGGTTCTCAGGAGGACAAAGTATTATCTAATGTTTTAATGATTGAAACACATATTTCCATGTTAATGCACAAGGAAGGCTAGGAAATTCTGTTTCAGTTGGTTTTTAAAGACTAGTCATTTGGGTATTTACATGGTACTTTTCAAAGAACAATATGGTACAAGCTCCTAGACCATACCACATGTCCATGGTACTTTTTTTTTGCTAGTTGTACTTTTGAATACTTACATCTCATGTATGTGTCACTCGTATGTAACTAGTGACACTCAAACACTGAAAGGCATTTCACCTTTATTTATGAGGTGTAACAAAAAAAAAACAAAAAAAAAAATCAGGGACCGTGTTTGGGTGAGCACCACGCCTTGGCATGGAAAATTGTCCAAGATTGCGCCATGAGCTCGTCTGGCCCTCCCTTGGAACAGCCGCTTCTGACACGCCTCATATTTCTTATCCGGAATCACTTCTAAAAAGCAGACCAAAACGCGCCATTACGCTGCTGGACAGAGGCTTAAATGAAGTGCACAAGTGAATCGTTTTGAATGAATCTTTTAAGTGCACAAATAGTTCTCATTCACTTTCGTGACATGACTGATTGTAAAAAAAAAATTTTTTTTTAATTATTTGTGGCTTAAACACTCTTTCCGTTTCCTCAGGCTTTTTCCTCAGTAGATCCCGAAGACTTTTAGTTTAATAAAAGATGATACAACATGTGTTTGAATGGAATCGGTTATGATTCAATAACTCGTAACACAAAAAGACGGTCTTGTTGCCACCTACTGGCCTAATGATGTAACTTAACTAGTCAGTGAACCTGGACGAATCTTTTGTGAAAGAAATCAAAAGATTTGACTCACTGGGAATCTAAATTCCCACAAGAATCCACACCAGCACTAGACGGTCTATGCACCGCAACTTTGATGGAAAGCCAATCAGATTTGGAGAGGGGGAGAGGGGGGATACAGGCTGTCACCGAGTAACGGTTCAGCCCCTATACAACACAAAACGCCACTGCTAAGTTCATAGATTTAGACTATTGCTTATAAAATTACAACACACAGCGAAAGTATGAGTTTAGAAAAGTAAAGAAGCTAATAAAGTAGAGAAATCGTCCAATTCATTTGCAACGCAACAAGTTCTTCTTCAGTGCGTTCGGATGGGATGAGCTACCGTCGTTGTCCAAATAATGAATTCTTGCCATAAATAGTGCATCGCGCATGGCCTACTGTTCACCCGCGGGAACTGGCTGGCAAAAATGCCAACTAGAGAAAGACCATCCTCGCCCCTTTCGAGCGCCTACGCGTCGCTGCTGTCTGCTGTTTCACCAAAAATGCGCAGCTTTTAAAAGCACTGTGAAATGTCTAACCATTTTTGTTTGCTACAGTACCAACTCAAACCAATAGTTTCCATTTCTCAAGGGTACTCACCGTTTTCGGCATTTTGTCGGTATTTAGTCTCTTCTCTCACGGATGTGTCACAAACTGAGCTGATACAATGAAGTCAACAGAAAGCCAAACTTTTTCCCATCGGCTGACGTCCACGCGCAAGAGTGATCAAACGCCACCGCCGGCCGTGTGGAAAAGCTTCTCCTCAAATCTCTTCCAGCTCCCGAAGACAAAGTTTCACTTTTCAGTGCGTCTTTGTCGCGCAGAGAAGTAACGTTACTGGTGGTCCTAGAGTCGTTTCCTGCTAACGGAACTGAGTTTTGAAAACCACACCCAGCCCAGCCGAAGCACGCTCACCAAAGCGCGTTTGACTAAACTCCGCCCGGATTCCCACAGGCCCCGTTATGCGCTGCTGCTGCTGCTGCTTTGTGTGCCACAGACGCCGGGGCTTCAACGCGCGCGCTCTGGGAATGCGAGGTGGGGGTATCCCACACAATTCCAACAGTGACGTAATTTTCCCCAGAAATTCCTAGCTCTATTTGGCTTCCTCTGATGAATGGCATCGTTTGGTACGGGAAATGCCTGAGGAGGGATTTTTTTTGTCACCATAATTTGGTAAAATCGACTCATATAAAAAAATATAGTCTTTTTTTTTTTTTTTCATTTCTAGTTTATTTATTTGTTTTGATTGGTTTTTATGGTTTATTTTGTCCTACAAGCAAAATCCTGATCCATACTTTATTCCAGTCGGTGGCGGTAATGCACCAGTCAGTTAGGGTGCCAACCGGCAATAAACACCAAAAAAGAAGAAGAAGAAGAATGCCTGAGGAACATGGCGAGACTTTATAGGGACCAAAAACTTAATCGTGCTATGTAACTTGTCTCAAAGTTGATAAAACTACATTTTAGAGAAATATTTTCAAAACAAAGAACTTAGAAATAACCCAAGACTGAAAACTCTTTGCTGAAGAACAAACACTTTCGTATATATAGTCCTATAAAATTGGTAAGCATCTTTTATTACATGTGTTTTTACAGTTGGATTTGGACTTTAGGGACTTCACTAGGCGTTTATCTATTATGACTATACTTTGATCATTTTAAATATCCTTTGAGTTTTATTGTGAGCCAATTAGGCCATTTTATAATGTAATTTTATTTTTTACATGCACAAAAATACCCCAGTTTTTATCTGTTATATTCACTCAATACCATGTAAGCACACTGATCTAATTGTCAAAAGAAAGACCAGAATATCGTGAATTGTGAATATTATCTCCTATAGATGCTCATTGGAGGATCATACAATCTGCTGGTGTCCCGTACAGAAAGTATTGTGGTGGTACAGTTGTCATATGTATTACAATGGTATTTTATATATGCAGTGGCAAATGATTGCCGTATTCACGTACCATGGCACCAGGTCCAAAAACATGGAAGAAACATGCTACTTTTTGTTAGTGCTGATTGTTAATGGGATGTTTAATAAAGAGTTCAAATTAATCTCTGTTTAATTGTGCGATATAAAAACAGGACGAGGTTTTATCAGAAGAGCTGGAGGTTTACTGTCACTGCTTTGACTGAAACGTGTCTTATCTGAAAATAGCTGATCGTGCTCATCATCACATGCTGAATAATTCAATTCAAGTTTATTTGTGTAGCGCTTTTCACGATACAAATCGTTGCAAAGCAACTTTACAGCAAATTAAGTTACTACAATATTTAGTAGTAGCTTATCAGTGGTGACTGTCAGTTAATGTACATATGGCAGAAATGTACGGAAAAATCAATTAAAGACGTAATCAAACAGACGATGAACACTATTAACAGCAATTATTATAATTTATTAATTATTATTAATAATTCTGACTGACCAAGAGTTTGAGGAAAATGTTCTTTATTGCCATAGACTACACCTATAACAATCATTTGAGTGCAATTAACATTATTATTCCCAGCTCTGTTTTAAGCCTTCTCTTCTTGGTTGGCACGCACGGAACCATTGTTCATCACTTGTGCAAGGGGAGCGTTCAACCTGCCGCACCGCTGGAGGACCGTAGGACCGTGATGTGGTCGGAAATCAGATTTACATGAATCGTATGTTTTGTTTTCTCCGACTCTAGCTGCACATACTTATTTTCTTGTGGCGGGTCCAGATACTACAGCGTTCGCAAGCATAAAGTCTACGATCTGAAGATGAAGAAGAAAACGGTGGGGAAGACGCGTCACGTCGTGGCCTGGATGAACAAAGCGGAGTACGAGCATGTGCTGGAGTATTTGTTCTCCAAAGAGCCCGCGCTGCAGAAACACGCGCTGCACAGGATCTCCGCGTGGAAGGGCAGGTACGGTGGGCAGGGTTGGACCTGCTGTGAGAGGGATCTGATGTCTTGCACACAGTGTTGGAGATGTTGTGATTGCAGTTTGTTGGGTCATGTGACAACTGATGTTTCCTCTTTTGAATTACGATTTTCTTTTCTGAAAATCGGTTTGTGTCAAGCGATTTTTTTAGTCTGGTTGCTTGATGAGAGAAAGATGAAATGTAGGTGCAATAAACGCTGTAACTATAGCAGCGGAGGACTGATGTTCTGTAGCGAGACGTGATGACGCACCGTTTGACCTTTGCTTGACCAATCAGCGGAAATGGGCGTTTCATTCCCGCCCTCACGTGGAGATGGAATATTCATTTTCTACCCCTGGATGTAAAAACGAAAAATCAAGGCGAATTATTACTATTCTTTTTTTAAAATACGAAAAATGAAAAAGGTGCCGTTTTATCATGTTTCTGTTTTCAATAATAAATCAAAAAACGAATGAACGCAACGTACACGGACCGTTACTATTCGGAGGGTTCTAACAGTAGATTACTTTGGCTTTGTGCAAAGTGTGATATCTTGGTATCTTGGTTTTGGAATGAGATGTGTTTTGGGCATTATTTTTGAAGATTCACACTTGCATTCAATCTACGCTGACATGGGAAGGGTTAAACTAACTAGCTTATGGGTTTTCAATGGCTGGACAGCACGGGTCAGCTGGAGGCCAATGATCTGGTGCTGTTGTATGGCATGGCACTGGTTCGGTATGTTTATCATCCATCAAGTTCGCTTGAACCATACAAATCAGTACATTTGACGTTACTGGAGTAACGAGTATGATTGTGTTTCAGGTTTGTTAATCTCATCACAGAACGGCAACAGAAAAGAGTTGCTAGACCCTTACGAAGGTTAGCTGGGAATGTAAGTCACACTTCAACTCAGATGAACGTCTTTCATAATCTGCTATAACTGCAGTCTGACTACAGTTTGTCTCTCTGACAGATAAATATCCCAGAGTGGGTGGTAAACCTCAGGCATGATCTGACACACCGCAGACTCCCATCACTAAAGTGGTGCCGAAAAGGTGAAAGACAGCTCTTTCCTTACAGTCACACATGCAAACAGACTTTAACTTCTCTGTTTGCTGCATATGTCATTGTAGTGTTTAAATTTGTGCATTGTGTTTGTTTGTTTGTGTTCTTCAGGTTGTGGATTTGTGTTGGACTGGTTGCATCAAGAGTACTGGTCTCGCCAAATGGGCAGTCAGCTGACAGAGGACTGGAACGCTTCATCAGAAGAGGAGGATGAAGAGGAGTTTGTTAAAAAACAAGAGGAAGATCTACTCCGCAGACAGAAAGAGATCGAGGCACACAGTGAGTAGCCTTTTACGCATACAACTCCAGTTGGACATTTGTGTCAGTAAAGGAGAGAACTTTGGGGAAGGAAAATGACAGAGACTGATGGGACTTCTACAGCTGAGAAACATGACTATTATATTACAATATAAGACAAATTGCATGAAAAATAATAAATACCTTTGTAGCGTATAAAGGGAATTTCATGTCACTTAAATGCAAAGCATTAGCTTTGTTCAGAATAAAAAAAAAATATGTAAAATACTTTAATCAAGGACACCTTAAATTCAAAAGTTACAGTAAAAACATTTATAATGTAACAGAATATGCATATTTAAAATAAATGCTATTCTTTTAAACCTTCTATTAATCAAATAATCCTGAAAAAAGGGCATTATAGTTTCCACAAAAAAAAAATTAAGCGACACCAAATCAGCATATTATAATGATTTCTGAAGGATTATGGGATACTGAAGACTGGAGTAATGGCTTCTGAAAATTCAGTTTTGCTATCACATGAGTAAATTACATTTTAAATATGTTAAAATAGAAAACAGTTATTTTAAATTGTAATAATATTTCTCAGTTTTACTGTATTTTTGATCAAATAAATGCTGTCTTGATAAGCCAAAGAGACTTTAAAAAAGAGACCCCAAACTTTTGAACTGTTGAATATTAGTCCTCTGTTTGTTCTCTATCTTTCAGAAAAAGTCAGAGACCTGCTCATCTCTTATGAACGAGAACAGTTTCAGGTAAGTCTGGGACGATTCTCACATTGTGTATAATATCCCAGCTTACACCAGCAGAGGGCAGTATGAGCTTGTGTTTCTGAGACAGCAGTTTAAAGGGTTACTCCACCCCAAAAGGAAAATGTTGTCATTAATCACTTACCCTCATGTCGTTCCAAACCCGTAAAAGCTTCGTTCGTCTTCAGAACACAATTTAAGATATTTTGGATGAAAACCGGGAGGCTTGTGACTGTCCCATTGACTGCCAAGTAAATGACACTGTCAAGGTCCAGAAAAGTATGAAAGACATCGTCAGAATAAGTCCATCTGCCATCAGTGGTTCAACCGTAACATTATGACGTGACGAGGATACTTTTTGTACGTGAAAAAAACAAAAATAATGACTTTATTCAACAGTTCGTCTCCTCTGTGTCTCTCTGCATCACCGTAGCATGTGTGTCAACACAAGGATACGTTTTCTACATGTATTTACGCTTTAATATGAACGAAAACAGCGCATCCGTGCAGCGCGGCTGACACAGAAGAGCGTACGCTGCTTGTTTTTTTCTTCGCGTACAAAGTATTCTCATCGCTTCATAATGTTACGGTTGAACCACTGATGGCAGATGGACTATTCTGACAATGTCTTTCATACTTTTCTGGACCTTGACAGTGTAAGTGAATGACACAATTTTCATTTTGGGGTGGAGTAACCCTTTAATAACATCAGATGACAAGCGTTGGAATTGTTCCTCATGCACAGAGAACCTGTTCCCGAATACACTGTATTCATAAAACACTCGGTGAAACTTGGGTGTTTTCGGTATGTGTATAAAACTGTATTGTGGGTCTGTGGGATAGACACAAGTTAAAAACATGTAGTGGTGTTTGGTAAGGATGTTTCTAATGCAAGCAGTTTCAAGTTGTTGATTATGTTGTGCCCATTGTTTTTGGTGTGTTTGGCAGACGTACGAAGCGCTGGCAAAGCAGGGAGGGCAGCGTGGCGTGTGGCCGGATGCCAGTGCTGATCTCAGCTGGATCCTGACGCAGATCAAACACTTTGCCACAGAGACCAGGTGTGTGCATGTGTTCAACTGAGCAAGACTTTATTTCTGATATGGTAAAGAGTATGTGTCTCATTGCCATCTGTTCTGTCTGTGTTACAGAGACATCCTTGTTGATGTTTTAATTCAGGATGGATTCCTTATTCCCACCGCAGAACAACTGGAGTCTTTGGATATTGACCCCTCAGGTACAAATGCACGAGATTTTGTTTAGAACGCAGGAAAGCATGAAGGAATTAGCTCACATAAAATAAATGTACCTCTCTCCCTCTTTCTCTGTAGAGGACTCTGTCGACATGTTCGCCCCATGTCTTCCTCGAGTGTTTTTGCACTTCTGGTTGCCATGTTTGAAGGTCTTGAATTCATCCATCTTTATAAATCTGATCCTTGACAAACTGTTCGCCGAGCTCTCGATTGAGCCATCCAGTCACAGAACTTACTACATCGCCTCCTGGATCTCTGAAATTTTACTCTGCAATAGCAAAAGTATGAATCTGAGACATCTTCTGGGTCTCTGTGGTAATATATATTATACAGTGGCCTTTAAAAAGTATTTGGACACTTAAAGGGATAGTTCACCCAAAAATTATATCATATACTGACCCTTAAGTTGTTCCAAGCCTGTATGAATTTCTTCTGCTGAACACAAAAGAAGAAACTTTGAAGAATGTGAGTCCCTGTTGACTTGTTACTTGATATTTTTTTTCCATATTATAGAAGTCAATGGGGACAGCAACACACTAACAGGGTATGAATGCCGTTTTGAAAGTCTTTTGTCCTGTCATATTCATTCATTTTATTACATTTTACTCTGACTAAAATAGCATATCATTTTAGTCTACAAAAATAGATGTTTGTATTTTATAAAGTACTCCGTTAAACCAACTTCTGATATATTGATTTAAACATCTATCATCATTTAACAAAAATTTAAAAACTTTCCTTGGTGTGAAAACCTGATCTCTTAAAATAATCCAAAGAAAGTGTCCAAAAACTTTTTGCCTTATTTTTAATGTTTTTTTTTTAAACTATTTTATTATTTACAAATCTTAACGAATTGTACAAAGATTTTACACATACGTAAAATCTTGTGTGTACACGCTTATTAAATGAAACCCATAGTTTTTAAAATGCACATTGTGTTAAACTTCTTTGAACAAAGTCTATGTGTGTGGCAGGTGAATTAAAGGCTCACAAGCGACTAAAAATATCCAAGGAAAGGATCTTCATGAACAGATTACAGTTTCCATGGCTGAATCTAATTTCTGCATGTGTGAACGCACCATGCCCAGCTACACCATTTCTTCTGCGACAGTGAGTAAACGTGCACACATTTACACATACAGTGTGGGTGAAAGTAGCTAATCTAATTTTACTTCTTGCCTTTTAAGGATTTTGAGTGACATGGACCAGCCCCTCCTACATGACGCCCAGCAGAACCTGCTTCAGCTCTGCAGCATTTACACACAGGGTTACCATGGAAACTCATCCCCCGGACCCTCAGACCCCGCTCAGCCTGTGTACACCCTACAACACCTTCAGGAGAGACTCAAGAGTAACGCGTCACAGAACAGAGACACCTCATCTAACCACACCCCCAGATCTGTGCAGGCTCCGCCCACAGAGGAGCGCCAGGAAAAGCTAAGCGCAGAAACTGTACAAGAGAGAAACTTTGCATTACGGGGATCTGCATGGAGCGTGTGCACAGGTAAAACTCACAAACTCACCTGCTTTTTTTGTTAAGTATTTCATTTTCTTATACAAATTATATTTACTATTAATTTATTAATTCTTGTTCAGTGAGGAGGTCAGTTGTATGAGGTTGATTCAGTCCACTAACTCACAAGTGAGTTCAAATTTCAAGTCATTAAAATAAACCGTTCATAGGAGTCATTTATTTATGAAATATTGCATACATATAAATTTTCCCACCTATTGCTAACAGTGGCTAGATTTTAAATTGACACTATAAAGATAACAAAGTGTACATTCTACCTTCCAGTCTAACTTTAAAACAATTATAAAACATTTTTATTAATTGAAATAAAATGAAATGTTAGATTAAAATGTGTGCTTATTTTATAATGGTTTGTTGCCAAGCAACATTTTTAATTACATTTAAAGTACTAAGATTAATAAAAACTAAAACTGAAATACTAAATAGAATTATTAAAATAGTAAAAATGATAAAAACAAAGAATATTATTAAAATGAAATTAAAAAAAATTCTAAAAACTATAATAGCATATAAATAATGCCAAATTAACACTGCAGTTAGTTTACAGATTGCCTTGTGTTTATGAAATGTGATGTTTGTGCTGCAGCATGTCTGCAGTTTATTACAAATAAATGAAATGCTTCAACACTTGTTACTTGAATAATACATTCATTCATAAATTCAGACCGTCTGCACACTTCCACTGTCATTGAACATGGGGGACAGTCTGTTTCCATGACCCCAAATACTAGGGTGAATTAGCACAAGTAATGTCAGCTGGTGTTTAATGTGATTGAAGAGTGACATCTCAAATTCCCACCCTTCTATCATCTGGCCAATCACTGATGAGGACTGAGTACACCTCATTTTGCTCCTCAAGCAACTGTAGTTGGTAAATTAATAATAAATCCTGAGATGGTTTTAAATGATTTGGTTGCAGTTCTCAACTCTGATGTTTTTGTGTCCGATCAGATAAAGTCCCCTGGAAACAGTATCCGTTAGGAAAGGTTCCAGGACAACCAGAGGACCCCTCCTGTTTGATGGTGGAGTGTTATTCTACATTTACTGTGTTTGACCAGCAGGTGGAGCTAGATCAACTCCCCCGGCACCATGGCAACAGGAGGTGAGAGGAGTTAGAAACTTTAAAAGTTAGGAACATTTAGTTAATATGCTGTAATATGATTTTCATAAAATTGAATCTTTATCCACAGTGTTCCCCTTCAGAGCAGAGCCAGTGGATCAGATGGGCCGCTTTGGACTCATAGTGATTTGAGCAAACTCAAAGCTGGACTCAAGCTGTTCTAACACACACTCAGATACTCAGCGGCCATAAGATATTGAGCAACCGACCCTGAACTATGAATCCCATGATGTTAAAGACAAACACTTGAGGCCCAAGCTGGACTGAGGCTCTTCTAGACACACACATATTAAATATTAAGCCGTTTTTCTTTTATAGTTTGTGTCCATCTTTGTTAGAAGGAATATCGGTTGTCTGTCTCACTCTAGTGTTATTAGTTATGATCCAGGCTAGTTTGATCGGCTCAGCTCAGTCCTTCAGCTCTTGGCATCTGTTCAAACCATCCAGAAGTGAAACTCCCATGAGCAATGTCTCACGAGGTTCTAATGAAGAAGTAGGTGCTGTTTGAGAAATGTTGTAAATTACATGACATTATTTTTGAAGACAAAGTTGCCAAATAAACTTCATTTTGTATTGTGTACTCACCTGTTACATCTTTTTCTGTTTCTTGAGGTCCAGGTTTGTTGCACTGGAGTTATATTATCGAACATGCCGTTCATGTTAAACCTCCATGTAAATTACTTCCATTAAGAATGACTGAACATCCTTTAATATCAGCTTCTTTGCAAAGACCTGCTACATTCTGGTAATCTGTTCTGAAATCCGCTGCAATAACAAAACCAGTAGCGGCACAATTTTGTGGTCTTATCCCACATCTGATTGTTATAGTCACTTGTATACAGTGGCCCCAAAATGTATTTGAACACTTAAAAAGGCATATTACCGTTCAAAAGTTTGGTGGATGGGAAATTTTATTTTTTTTAATTGAAAAAATACTTATTTTGCAAGGATGCATTAAATTGAGAAACCGTAAATATATTTGTTACAAAAGATTTCAAACAAAAGCTGTTCTTTTCAACTTATGAAAGAATTCTAAAAAATAAATAAATGGTTTCTGCAAAAAAAAATCTTGTAGCACAACTGATTTCAACATTGATAATGTTTCTTGAGCACCCAATCAGTATATTAGAATAATTTCTGAAGGACCACGTTACACTGAAGACTGGAGTAATGGCTGCTAAAATTCAGCTTTGCCATCACAGGAATAAATTATATTTTAAAATGTATTGAAATGTTTATTTTTAAACTGTAATATTTCACAATTTTTGATCAAATAAATCCAGCCTTTGTGAGCATAAGATACTCATTTTAAAAAAACATTCAAAAATTTTACCATCGCCACTTGGTTTAACATTTAGTATCTAATGCAATTGAACACTGACATTTTAAGGGACTAAAGTGTGAGTGTTGGGGCCTCTGTACTAACTGAATAATTGTATCTTGCTCTGGTGTTTTGCAATATCTTACTATCTTACTTCCTCTGTATGACTATATTCCATTTTGCTATCTACAGTCAAACAAGCAACCAATAGGAACACAGGCATGATAACAGTTAACCAAATAGAGTCTGGCTTTATTGAGAGGAACAAACACCTTTTGTCATTGAGACTTACATTTTGTTTGAGTCCACAGACCCAAAGCGTTATAAAGGTTTTCCACCCTATTTCACGGTCTTCATTTTTTTTTTCTGGTTCATGTTTTTGTCATATTGAAAACAAGTTTAAAAGCAACGTTTCATTCAGTAGAGAGTAAAACATACTATTGTATGTCATCTTCATCACAGCACGAGACTCAAAAGTGTTAAGACCACTCAGTCAACCTGCGAAGGCGCAAAAAAAAACACAATACAAGGGCGGGGGGAAATGTTAAATGAACCAAACTCGAATTTAAGAACACGTTTTCAAGATCATCCACGCTACTTCACAATGCAGTTTTATAAGAGCAAACATCGAAGATAATGTCTTTCATAAAGAAGCTGAAATAATAATACATCTGTTTGTTCCTGAGAATCAATCCGTTGGTGAGAGTGTTTGTTTGAGCGAGTAATAGCTGGTGTATTCAATATTGAAAACATACATGTAAATGTACAGATTAAATCAGCTCTGCAACCAGCGATGGGGAAAAAAACATCTCTTCTGACAGTTTGAAATGCCCGTTTGCTTTATTTTTTTGATGTTTTTCTCCTTTGGGCATGTCCAGTTGTCCTGTAGTTTCTTCTTGGACATTCTAGTCAAGCTTAATCAGAATAAATGGCGGTTCGTGCAATTAAATCAAGTTGTCCATTCAGACACCTGTAGAGAGCTGAAACCAAAAAAACTCATCTTCTCATTAGCACTTCCGCTTATGAGAATAGAAAAACAAGCAAGAAGCGAAAGTAGTAACCAAAGTAGTTCAACTGTAAGGCAGGTTACGAGGTGAGTGTTCATGTGTTTGTGTAGACATCTTTCAGTACGACACTCAGATAAAGCTCACATTTTACTTATGAGAGAATGTGCGCGTGTGGTGTCAACTTCATTTGCCCAAACTCACCTATTTGCTAAATAAAAAAATAAAAATCAAAAACATTGTGCAAATTCCATCCTATTAAAGTCTCATCTTCAACCTGGAACCTCCACGACTTTACTGTAGAAGGTAAACTATGTTACAGGTGAAACAGCAGTGAATTTACCATAAATTCACACCAGCGCACACAATAGTCAACATTTTACATTAGTTATATCAGTACTAATGATAGCATGTGATCAGCTGACTGCGGTTGTCAAGGCAACCCGTCAGTCTAAGTGTGTGTATGAGAGATCCTGCACGGATAAGCTGGTAGAGTGTCTTTATGTATGTGAAATGCACTAATACTGTGCAAATACAAGAGGATTTACATTAATTTTCAATATTTACAAAGAGGAAAAATATATTAGGAGTACACAGATTGTGTCTCTCCTGAATCTATACCTTTAACAGAGAGAGACTGAATGATGATCAATAAAGCCACGCCCTAAAAATCCTTCAGTCAAACAGAAATGAAGTTCAGTTCCACTGAAGTACTGAAGTAAACGATCACTTTCCAAAATAACCATCAAACAGCAAATTTCAAGGCATGGAAAAGTAAAGGAGGTATGAGAGGACTGAGAGAGAGAGAGAGAGAGATCCCTGTCTGTGGTCTGCCTGGCAGGAAATAAGCCATCTCTATGGGCTACTCGAGTGACACACGGTATCACTGACATTATGGCATTATATTTCTTTATCCTTTTTTTTTTTTTCAACAAAACTAAGCTTTTATTTTTTTTTAAATATATATATATATATACTCATATAAGTGATACTGTACAGCTCAGAAATATATATATTTTTTTACAATCAAGAAATAGATACAATTTGTATCAACAAGCAAAAGGTCGTTTCTGGACATTTGATGTGTGGTAGCTTGCTGTTCAACTGCATGGGGTTCTGAACCTCGGAGCATAAGCAGCGGACAGTAATGTTGTAACTTACCAGAAATTAGTTTCTAGATTGCTCTAGGACAGTGATGGGCAAACTTGGCCCTTCCAGGCCACTTTCCTGCAGAGATTTGGTCCAACCCTGATAAAACTCACCTGCCTGTAGCCTTCTAGTAGTCTTGAAGACAATGATTAGCTGGTTCAGGTGTGTTTGATTAGAGTTGGAGCTAAACTCTGAAGGAAAGTGACCTGGAAGGGCCAAGTTTGCCCACCCCTGCTCTAGAAACACCTCCTTCAGGATTTTTTGCTCCTAGGTTCAGAGGAGAAGGAGAAATGGAGAAACCCAACCATAAAAACATTTCCATCTCAAACAAAAATATAAATTTAGGCCTGAAACATACTCTGTAAGTACATGAATGATGCTAAAGGTGCAGTCACATTAGCAAAAGTTTGTGGGCAAAAAATGTCTATTGTCAGTCTACGTGACCAATTTGAACCAGTTGCGAAATCTCTGTGGGGAAATCTATTATTGCCCTCAAGTAAACTCCCAATCCTGTGGATTCCTATTTAAATGGCTGCATTTTGCCTGCAAAAATTTGCCAAACATTAAAAGTGACCACACCTTAACACTTCTAGCTGGATTTCACGTCATTGCATTCCAAAAGATGTCACAATTCATAACACAACAGAACTGCAACTCTGACACAATTGGTACGATAGCAGGCAATAAGTAAAGGCACAATTATTAGAGCATAACATTTAAAAAAAAAATTTTTTTTTAATAATTTTATAGTAGATTTTTGACAGTTCTAGATTTTCTGAAAGCTAAAAGTGTGAAATGGGATATTTTATCATCTGCTGCCTTTGAAGTCAGTTCAAGACGGACGCTAGGGAAGGATTTAGGAATGTGAACATTCTTGTGATGCTATTAGCCAATAAAGTTGTCATGATGTCATTGATCAAGCATTAATGCCTACAATTATGTACTTGCATAAATATGTTTCTGGCCTAAAATGTGTAAATAATCATAAAAAATAAAACATTTTAAAATATTTTTGAGAAAAAAAAATCTGAGATTGTAAAAAGAAAAAAAAAATCATTAATGGCCTTCTGGAAGAACCTTGTTGAAAAATAAAACTAAAGGGAAGGAGAACCGTCCATGTTCGTATTAGAGAGCTGAGAGGTTGGGTTTTGTGTCCAAGTCGAAGCAGGGTCAGGGGCGGTAGAGAGGCAGCAAGCGAACTGTCAGCCAAATGTCAGAAACAACCCAACAACAGCCTGGTGTTCCGTGTGTGTGTCGCACAGGAAGAGACAGGTAGGCAGTGTGTCACACCTTCCCACGAGCAGTAACGGGGCCCTACGGGGCCACTCCTGCGCTCATGAAAAAAAATTTAAGGAGCCATTTAAGTCTCTTTTTAAAACACCCAGAGCATCTCTGGACCAATAACATTCACGCTCTCCTGAAAATATGTTAATTTACAGGGCGGAGCAGATGAAATGGGGCGGTCTCTTGGCATCAATCAGGAAATAGATGCTGCACAAGAGCATTTTGCCGAAGAGACGCATTCTCCTCCCCAGTTTGTGAATACTTGAGCATAGTTATCGACTAACGAGCCAAACGTGAGCGGCGCTCTCTTTCAAGCATCGTGCTAACATGCTGTCTGGGAGAGATTTACTGAAGCCCATGCTTACTCAAACATCTCTCTTAAAATCTACAATACAACAACAACATTTAGCAAATACATATGAATAATATCTTCTCCAACTAGACATACCTAGTGCTTTCAGATCAGGAAAATTTACACTGATTTTCTGTTTGGCTCAATCTTTAAAAATGGCTTCATAAATACGTATCCGTGCATGTGTGCGAACAGACGTTGCAGGGCCGGTTTGCAGTTACAGCCCAGCCAATTAAAAAGTCTAAACTGCAGCACGGCAGAATCTAAATCTTTCTGTCCCAGTGCTCGCTTTTAAAAAACAAATGGAAAACAGCAACCTCCACAACTATTAAGTACTATTCACATTAATGTGTGGTGAGGTCGCTCCGATGTAAGGCCATACAAGTTCAAAGGTCATGCTTTGAGGTACGCAAGTGTTCATTCCTAATCTTTCCAAAATCACACATCAATTCATCACGCACACCAAAAAACCACACCACGGTGTCACATCATATTTACACGCAAATGCAAGTGAATACACATATACATACACAATACTATTCATATTGTGCAGGATCATTTCTGATCGGTTTTACCAAAGAGATTTCTCTCATGTAACTCTTTTTCAAAGGATAAATGTTATCATCACCAACGAAATAACACATTCTCAAGATCTGCCATCAAACTGGCAGGCAGTTGCTCTCTCAATGTGGATACACTTTTGAGTCAGCTTTATGAACAACCTTAAGAACTTTTCGGCCCATCTCAGGAGCTAAACGGTGGAGAAAGCAGGACTTTTTTATGAGGGATCTCACGTTTCTATGCTAAACTTTTCAAGGTACAAGATCCAGGCTCCCATATGGCTTAACAGATTACATAATAACCAATGCAGCATCAATGCTATCATGCTAGCCAACCTCCTAATGGATCCAATCCAGTCAAAATTACATATTGGGCTGGCTGTTTCTTCAGAGTGAATCAAAAATACGAAATTCTCAAGGCGTCCAATTTCTCATTCACTAGGATATCTAAATATTGTGGTGTTGTTGTTAGCAGCCTTTTGTGATGTGCTTAATGGCAAGAGCGCAGTTTAGTGACGATGACGGCAGCCAGCTGCTGGGGATCGGTCATGTGAGGGTTCTCCTCCATGACCAAATGGACCACATATGCCGGGAAGATGTTACAGAGGTTTCGGTAGGTTTGAAACTGGTGTTCTGGAATAGGGTGCCGCTCTTGGGGTTCCTCCGCTGGCCCACGAGCACTGGGCGGTGGAGGCGGCACGCTATCCCACGGGGACCTCCAGATCTGCTCCATCTTCTCGGGCATGCTGCGGACCATCACCCTTTCACAGCAAGGCATAAGGCCTCCCGTTAATCCATAGCTTCCATAACTGTAGGGCTCATTACCACACGGCAAAGGGTCCCAGCTGGCATGCTGCTCTCGGCAAAGAGGAGGTCTCCTTTGGCGCAGCGGGTTGCTCTCGTAGAGCCGTGAGTCAGAGATGCTGTCCATTCGAGTCATGCCTAAGGATCGACCGTGCTGTGAGGGGTTGGCAGAAGGCAACATGTTCTGGGAGAGAGGAGGGTAGTCTCCTGGGCAGCTGGATCGAGTGCCAACAACTGGGTGTTGGGTGTGTGGCGCAAGGTGGGCGGAGGACTGCTTTCGAGGACACTGTTTGGGTTCATCCGTTCCGTAGCTCTGCACACGTGTCAAGGCCTCATGGTGGAAACCGTGAGCAAAGGCTTGAAGGCGCGTTTGCACCGAAGGTTGCATCTGGGTCTGCGAAGGTGGCCCTTTCATGCTGTCGTCCAGGCTGCCCTCCAATGAGTTGAGGTACATCTCTCCACTGTAGGACGAGAAGGAGTCTGACGAATGGCTTCGGCCAGGTTCTGGGCACATGCTGGCTCTGCCAGGATATCCTCCACCAACCCCTACAGGCTCTGGCTGTTCAATACTGCAGAAACTGTCTTGGAGACTCATGGTGGAGAAGTCACTGAGCATGGAATAGTAGCCATGGTCGCTTACCACAGAGTCGTACTTGGGGAATGGCTCACCGTAAGCCACAGATGCGCCCTGGCTATTGGTGACTAGGATGGGGGGATACTGGACGCTGCCTGCGTGTTCAAGTGAGCTGTGGGTAAAGTGCAGAGACCCTGGAACAGGGCTGCTTGCTGAGCGTGTGTTTAGAGCACCTGCTGCGTGGCTTTTCGTCAGTGGCATAGTTGGAACGCTAAGTGCTGAAACTAAAGACGGTACAGAACTGGCCTCAGCCTTCCGCATTGGACAGAGTCTCTCTTCTTGCTCACATGCAACTGACCGGATACTGGGGTCAGACTGGCGCTTGGGCGCCACTCGCTTTGCCTCTGAGCTACTGTCTCCCTTGGCAGCAGAACCAGAGGTCCCACATTTGGCAAGTGCCCCCTCGCTCATTGTCTTTACGGCAGAGAGTTTGGCAAAGGCTCTGAGCTCATCTGCGACAGCCCGTTGTGGTTGATTGGCTCTTTCTGGGTGGTAGTACTTGCACTTATGGCCGTACGTGCACTTCTTACCTGTGATAAAACCAATAGTGGTGGTTGAGACAAAAAAAAAGTTACTACTGTGTTTTATAATATGGTAGCACTGATTCTTTTTTTAAATAACAGTATACTGAAAATTATTTTTAAAAATCAAACTGGAAAATCCATAGTTTGACAGTGCATGAAAAACGTATCAAATATATTTAGCTTTTTTTATATTACAGTGTTGATACAGCAAAAATGGATATTTGTAATATTCTGTGATGTTCTAGAATAAAGACATAAATTAATTTCCTACTTTTGCTGTACTGACCATAAGGACACGGCTGCTTCTTGTGCTCTGGAACCACTGGTCGTTTACGGAGAAAATTTTCCAGACTGGGTCCGTGTCTCCCTAAAGGATCATCAGGAGGCATGAACCTACAAATCAATCCAACAGACACAAATAAGCACAACTCTATGATAGGAATAATGATTTAAATCTAAAATGTATTTAAATATGAAAGTTATTCTTATTTATATTATAAATATGAGATTTTAAGAATGTTATACATTATACAGAAGTATGGTAGAATATTTCTGTCCTAAATTATTTCTTGTGGCCATTATGCAAATATTAAAATAAAGTGAAACTGGAGCACTCTGCATTCACAATGCATGTTAAAGCATCATTAATCGTTTTGTGATGTGAACCACCACAGATGGTGTATGTGCATGACAAAAGCATTTATACTGAACTACGTACTGCATCAGCAAGTGAGACAAAAATGCCCATTTATGGCATTTCTATATTCACTTAAAATGACTTTTTTGGGGATAGCAGTGTGGCTTAAATCACATATAACTGGGAACAGGCATACACAGCAGGCCTAATCATGGGACCTCATCACTGGAAATCAAACTTAAGCAAATAAATAGGTAAATTCATTAAAGCTTATTTACAAATAGAACAACTGACTAGAGAGTTGAAACAAATGACAGCAATAAAAAGTGAAAGAAGAAAAAGAGAGAGAGGAACGCCATACGGGTGGCGAGGGTGGTAAGCAGAAGACAATTTAGTAAGACAGAAAACCCCGTCG